GAATGCTTGTCCTTTACTGTTTTCCCTGAGCTCTTCAAGCTGGATGTGGCAGCAGGCCGAATTCAGTTTAGGGAGTGGCTGTGTTTGAAAATGAACTTTCAAGGCCTAGATAATAACTCAGTAAATATTGTTCTCTAGAATCCTGGCTGTAACGGTGCAGTTGTTACCTCTCAGGGCAGCTTACGGACGTGAGTTTGCCTAAAGCCAGGTCAAAAGAGTAAAATAAATTACAGTTGATGTTGGGCACCATACCCTATTGAGCAACTTTAATGTTTTAAAAAGGCAAATATGTTCTTGAATAACCATAACTCAGTACGTTTCAATTTTAGGCAAACCAGTCACTTGATGGGGTCTTGGTGTGGCGCTGTAGAATAAGCACTGGACTGCTAACCTCAAGACCAGCAGTTCAAACCCAGCAGCCACTCCTAGACAGACTCATATTGAGTCAGAACCAACTCGGCAGTACGTAACAACAACAGTCACTTGATAATTGATGAAGGATCTGGGCCCAGCTCTCATGGCCCAAGGTGAGTGTGCATTATTTGTTCAAAAGGTTTTCTAGCCCTCCCTAGAGAGACATCTGCTTTCCCAGCTATTGTATAACTAGATAAAAGCATTTATATAGTGTATGTTTTATACTTACATATTATTACTGTATACAGGCTGAGCTATGTGTCTCATAGTACCTCTTCTTGCAGTAGAATAATGGAACTCTTCCCTTTTGAATTCAAGAGTGTTATGTGAATTGTCTATAGTCAGTGAAATGCGCCAGAAGTAACATGTTTGAGCAATAGAGCAGTAGCTTTAAGAGCCAGTTTGTGGTTTACGGTCTCCTTTTTTACCTTTGGCACAAGACAAGCAATGTTCAGGAGGCAGTTCCAGCTGCCGCAGTCCTGCAGTTGCAGACCACGTGGAGCAGAACCACATATTGAATTAGTAACATGAGAAAGAATGAAACTGTAGTTCTTACAAATCACTGAGATTTGGGGATCATTACTGCAGCCCATCTTGACTGATAACAGCGTTTAGGGCCCTTGGGCTACATCACTTGTGAGAATTCTAGGAATTTCTTAGACTCTCTGAGCCTTTCTAGTCTCCTGAGGCATTAAAAATTGGGCTGCTGCATTCCTGTTCTATTGAAACTTCAATTTCCTCTTACTCTGCTCTATGGTAGGAGTAAACTTCCTTGAATCTTAGATTAGTCAAGTGGACAGAGTGGAGTTGACTTTTGGCACACTTAAGCAACTGAAAATGGTTTGACTAGGCCTCTAGTACAGCTAAGGAGCTCTGGTAGCGTGGTGGTTACGAGTCGGGCTGCTAACCTCAAGGTCAACAGTTCAAAACTACCAGCTGTACCACAGAAGAAAGATGAGGCTTTCTGCTCCCATAAAGATTCACAACCTCAGAAACCCTACACAGGGTCGCTATGAGTCAGAACCGACTCCACAGCCACCACCACCACCACCACCACCAGCTGTACAGCTGCCATCTATCTTAGGGTACACCTCAGGTGGTGGTTGTTTCTGCAGCTTGTCTAGAATGAAAAGCATGTGCAACTAACTACCTGACGCTGACCAGCAGCCTGGAGCTGAACCCAGCTGAGCCCCAACTATTTGTAAGCCCGTAAGTAACACATGCATGTTGTTATTGTAAACCACAAAAATTTAGGGCTGTTCATTATATCAACAAAAGATGATCAATAAAGGTAGAGGGACCATATGTCTTCATTTTTGGAACCTTCGCAAGCAGGCACTTAAGTAGTATTGTGTGCACCTTAACTGACCCCCTCTCCTTTCTGACCTTCAGACTCACCACCGTAATTTTGAAGTAAGGGACTTTTTAATGATTTTATTGTCCCCAATAAGGAAATTGCCTGGGATTAAAGGTCTTTATAAGAACCCTGGTGACACAGTGTTTAAGTGTTTGGCTATTAAGCAAAAGATTGGTGGTTTGAACCCACCAACTACTCTGCAGGAGAAAAATGTGTCATTCTGCCTCCACAGAGGTTTCAGCCTTGAATTCTCTATGGGCAGTTGGACTCTGCCCTTTAGGGTCACTATGAGTTGAAATCAACTTGATGACAATGAGTTTGGTGTGTTTTTTATTTTAGAGCTAGGCGCGTCAGTCTCTCTTCCACCTGCCAGAACAGGAGAGAGCAGGAGCCTTGGGTGTGTGCTTGAGTGGGGCCAAGTCCTGGGGCCGAGCAGGGCCTGTCATGGGGCTAGAAGAGCAGGCTCCATGCTCAGAGATCAGGATCATGGGATGGCTTGCATAAGTCACATTCCTTCGTCTCAACTGCCCTAGATTAATAATGAAAGCTAAGGAAAATCATTGTGTTTGTTTTGCAAACATTGCTTCAAAAACGTCCTGGAATATATAAACCTTTTTTATATAGAAATTCTGGAACCATACAAGAACATGACTCTTTAGTAAGATCCTGGAAAATAAAGCAGGAAGTCATTGGGTTGAAAGGACATGTAGCTTTTGAGGCCTCTCCATATCTGGGCTTAAGGGGGGCACCTTCCATTAATTTGTTTATTCAACAAATACAAGGTGCTGGTGATACCATGGTGATTAAGGCAGACAGAAAAGCTCATTGTCCTCCTGAGAATGGTGGAGGCAGCTGACCAGATTCTGGGCTAAGAAGGGATCAAACAAGCTACTATTTCAGATAATAGGGACAGTCAGCCGATGATATTTATGTTGAATATATTAAATTTGTTTTATTTAACTCAGTACCTGTAAGTCCAAATGTATAGACATATATTCAGTGAAAAATTTTCATTCCACCCCAGTCCTCATCTAGTTTCTTCTTTACAGGTAATCAAAATTTCCAGTTCCTGTGTATCCTTCCTGAGGTAACCTACGTATATATATACACGAGTACATATGTGTGTATCTCCCACTTTCAAAAGATGGTAATGTAGATAAACCAAGTGGGGACCATAACAGACTTCCCCTGGCTTCACAAAATCAGTCCAAGGCCGATTCCTATGAAGTAGAGGTCAGACATGCTTCCACCCTCCAACCTTCTTTACCCTTCTGACACCAGCCATCCCTCCCACATCACTATTTGTTTCACATCTGGGTTCAATAATCCATTGCAGTGGCCACACAGAACTTAAAACAATTCTCCAGATTATGGGATCAAATGACAACTCAGGACTCAGCAGTTCTCCAGTCAGAACACCTTCTGGGCTGTATTGTAGACATGCTTTGCGCTTGTCTTTGCCTTCTCAGTCTGTGGGCCTGGAGCCCGTAGCTGCTTTGTCTCTCCAGGCCACTGCCTCTGCCATCACCTCTGCTGTTACCATTTGTAGATACGGATCTTACACTCCACTCATGCTCTTCCTTCTTGATGGTCCTGTGACCTTCGCTCCTGCTTCTAAGATGGTTCCTTTTAAGCTGAGCTGGATGGCAAAACAACCAATCCCAGCCTTAGAGTCTTGTGTACCTTATTTGCATGGTCCCATCCAATCATTTGACGGGAATTAAAACATTGGATAGAAACTTCATATCAAGTAAATTCAAGGTGCCACAGTACTACACACACTTACATCTTCTTTAACTAAAAATAGACCTGGAAAAATTTTCCATATCTGTATATAAAGAGTTCCCTCACTATTAATAGCCATTTAATACCCCATTGTTTAGACATGCCATGATTTATTTGACCAGCCCTCCTCAACTGATAAACACTTAGCAGTGTTTTCCTATATGTTCCAGTTCATTTGTCATACAGGAGAATATATATCTAGGGAAGACTCTTGGCTGGTTGGCGGTGTATTGTAGAGTCGGTCCTGACTCACAGCGATCCTGTATAGGTAGGTTTGAACTGCTGACCTTGTAGTTAGCAATCCAGTACTTGCCCTGCAGCACCACACCAGGAGTCACTCACTTCTAAAACATTGCTTGAGTTTGCGTGTATTAATATAACGTAATGGCATTTTTACTCTTTGTTGTTTTAGTCTTTACACATTTAATATTCACAGTAACTCTCTGAGAGAGGTAGGTTATGTTATTGTATCCATTTTAGAGATGAGGAATCCAAGGTGTGAAGAGGTGAGGTGACTTCCCCAGGAAATGAGTGGTACATCTGGGTTCATACCATGGCATGTCTGATCCCAGGTCCAGGCTCCGAATAATCGCAGCACACAGCATTCTCTTCTGGACAAGCATGGGGGCAGCTGTCTCTCCCATCTTTATCTCTGCCAACCTCCTTCCCTCCTTATGGAAGACTGTTTGTGCATCTTCCTTCAGATGTTTTTCTCCTTCCCAAATTTTGGCTGGGACTCTAGAGTTCACTTGCATGTAGAAAATCTGTTATCCCTCTGATTCCCGTGATGATTCTGTAAAAACAAAATAAGAGAATTGTCAGGATTAAATCAACATGCAGTTTTAAGTTTAGCTGCATGAGATTAAAGAAATACGAATGGAAGAGTTAACATTAAGACATTGCTGGGAATCCTTATATTCCTTTCCTTGTTTGGGATGTACAGAGAAGAAAAAGTTTTCAGAAATTACTAGGCAGTCTCAACAAGTTCTTACTGTGCACTTGTTGAAGCTTACTCTAAATATTTATTTTCTTTGTATCAAATCTTGCTTTTTTTGCTTCTGTTTTAAGAATTTGTGTCTGTGTAGCTGCTGAATGCAAATAATGATTTTATTGGCATGTTATAAACCTAATCTTTAGGCATGGTGATTTGGTTGGATGCACCATGATGTCATTACTTTTGCAAATAACAAACACATCCCAAGGTACCTTAACCAGTGCAACCAAGGAGCAGTTTACTGCAGAAAAACTTTAAAGTGGCCAATATCTACACAGCCTAAAATTCAGGTTTCTCATTTGATATTTAATGAGCTTAGTCCTGAAGTTTATTTTGAGGCTTTCTTCACCATTCTCAACTTCCTTCCTGTTTAGGTTTTACTTGTGCTGATTTTACCTGATTTCCATGATGGTTTGCTCTTGGGACCAGACATGACCCGAAGTTGACCTCATGAACACATTCACCTCTCCAGCTGCCATGCTCCTCCGGAGGCTGAGGCGACTCTCCTGGGGCAGCACAGCTGTCCAGCTCTTCATCCTGACAGTGCTAACATTTGGCCTGCTGGCCCCACTAGCCTGTCACCGGCTTCTGCACTCGTACTTTTATTTGCGTCATTGGCATCTGAACCAAATGAGCCAAGATTTCCTGCAGCAAAGCTTGAAAGAGGGGGAGGCTGCCCTCCACTACTTTGAGGAGCTGCCTTCCGCCAACGGCTCGGTGCCCATTGTCTGGCAGGCCACCCCCCGCCCCTGGCTGGTGATCACCATTATCACTGTGGACAGGCAACCTGGCTTCCACTATGTCTTGCAAGTTGTATCCCAGTTCCACCGACTTCTTCAACAGTGTGGCCCCCAGTGTGAGGGGCACCAGCTCTTCCTGTGCAATGTGGAGCGGAGCGTGAGCCACATTGATGCCAAGCTGTTATCCAAGTACGTCCCTGTGGCCAACCGCTATGAGGGCACTGAGGACGATTATGGTGATGACCCTTCCACCAACTCCTTTGAGAAAGAGAAGCAGGACTATGCCTATTGCCTAGAGTCATCCCTACAGACCTACAACCCAGACTACGTCCTGATGGTGGAAGACGACGCAGTTCCAGAAGAGCAGATCTTCCCTGTGTTGGAGCACCTTCTGCGGGCTCGCTTCTCTGAGCCGCACCTCCGAGATGCCCTCTATCTAAAGCTCTATCATCCTGAGAGGCTCCAGCACTACATCAACCCAGAGCCCATGCGGATCCTGGAGTGGATTGGGGTGGGCATGTTGCTAGGGCCCTTACTAACCTGGATATACATGAGGTTTGCCAGCCGTCCAGGGTTTAGCTGGCCTGTCATGCTCTTCTTCTCCCTTTATAGCATGGGTCTTGTGGAACTTGTTGGGCGGCATTATTTACTGGAACTACGGCGGCTAAGCCCTTCCCTGTACAATGTGGTTCCTGCTTCGCAGTGTTGCACCCCAGCCATGCTCTTCCCTGCCCCTGCAGCCCGGCGGACCCTCACCTACCTGTCACAGGTGTACTGCCACCAGGGCTTCGGCAAGGACATGGCATTGTACTCACTGTTGAGGGCCAAGGGGGAAAAGGCCTACGTGGTGGAGCCCAACCTTGTGAAGCACATTGGGTTATTCTCCAGCCTCCGGTACAACTTTCATCCCCGCCTGCTCTAGCGGGCCAAAAAAATGCCTTTCTAAAATTGGCCACTTCCTGGAGATTCAAAATGAGTTCTTTATTTTGACCTGGTTGCTTGCAGATATGTGATTGTTCAATGTTGCTAGGGACTGGGACATCTGAACAGCATATAAGGACTTCAGTTTGCCACAAGTCCAGACCTCTGTCCGGCCACACAGCCACACTGCCTCATGCAGTCTGACCCACCCAAAGAGGATGCATTGAAATACCAGTATGTTCTCCAGTTGTCTTCAGCTCTGCTTTATGGAAGAACTTATAACTGCCAAAAATCTTGTGCATAGTGATATGACTGTTTTAAATTCTTAAGGCTAGAGTTTGGCAAGATCATTTTGAATTGATTTGTTTTTGTGTGTGAGAATGGATATATGTTTAGAATATATATATATGTACACATATATATAAAGGCAGCCCCTATTGATAGAGTCCATTCTTTCTTTGGCCTAGTGTAGTAAAAACTGTGATAAAAGGTGGACACTGCCCAGCATCTTGGGAATACACAAAGCTGCTGCCTTTAACCTGGTACACGTTTACAGTATACTGATGACTGATACTGTTAATGAGAAATTTTAGGCACAGGAAGATCTGGGAGTGCCTTCTGAATGATCAAAGTCAGATTGTGACTCTGCTCCATAGTGGTTTAATGTTGAATAGCTCTGTCATATTCTGATTCTTTGAAATTAGACATTTTAGAAGGATAAGAATGGATGAGCCCTTTACTAACAGCATATTCGTAGTGGTTACGAATCGGGATGCGAACCTTAAGGTCAGCGGTTCGAAACTACCAGCCGCTCCGCGGGAGAAAGATGAGGCTTTCTACTCCCGTAAGGATTTACACCCTCGGAAACACTGTACAGGGTCGCTATGGGTCAGAACCGACTCGAAGGCACTTAACAACAACAATAACTTTGCTGACTAACAGTTCACCCTCTTTTGTTCTAGGTAGCATGAGACTAGATGGTGAAGTCAGAAGACCTGACCTGCCATGTTCTAGTGGTGTGACCTTGGGAGAGTCACATAACCACTTTGGGTCTCAGTATCTTTACTTGTAATATAGAAACAGTAAGGCCTACCTTTTAGAGTTGCCTTGAGGATTAAATTCCTGAATGTCTATAAAACATCCAGCAAGTGCTTGGCCCTTAGAGGACACCCACTTGGCAAATGGTAGTTCTTTTCTCTCTCGTTATAAGCATATTAAACGTAAGTGTATTTTAAATAAAGATATCAGTGATATTGTTTAAAGTGTGAGATTGGGCCTAGGGTTGGCACCAATATAGCTGCTGTTTGAAACCAAGCACTGCTAGAATAAAGGCTGACTTTTCATCGAGACTTCTTAAGGATAGTAGCTCAGCTTTTACCTGGTCCCACTTTGAAACCAAACCACAAATAAGAATTATTCAATCAGACTAAAAATGGTCAGAGACTTCTTTTGAGCTCATTCCAGGATTGCTGGTATTGTTGTTATGTGCTGTTGAGTCGGTCCCAACTCTTAGTGACCCGGTATAAGGTTTCCAAAGAACGATTGGTGGGTTTTAACCACTGACCTTGTGTTTAGCAGTCTAGTGCTTATCCGGTAGTGCTACATAAGGACTCCAAGACTAGTAACTGCAAATTCCTTTCTCAAAAGTTAGAAATGATTGGAAACTAGAAATAAATATCCTTTGGCAATATTTATCCAGCTAGTGGCCAGCAAGCCCCTATGAGGCTGAATGATCATACTGCAGAGTTCAAGCAGTTGTCCAGTTCATTTCAATGGTACATCTTCCCGTTGTTTTTACATTTTTCATAGCAAGCTTTCATCTTGGGATCCACTGAAGAACACTGCACAAGTTTGCATAAAGGTGTTTCACCCACATTTTCAAATGAAAAAATTGAGGCCCAGAGAAGTTAAATGACTTCTCCAGCTTTGATCATTTAAACAGCAGCAGACCCAAGACTGGATCATAGCTCTTTTGACATCACCCCCACCCCGCCAGTCTCTGCTCTTTTTAAATTAACCACATTAGTTTTATAAATATTTATGTGATCAGAACCGCCTTTATAAAATCTGATTGTAACCTGGACTAAAAGTGTGTTTGCAAAAATGTATGGTGCTATCAGATAATCACTGGACTGCTAGTCACAAGGTCAGCAATTCAAACCCACCTGTTGCTCCTTGGAAACTCTATACTGTTACTGTGATAACAAGCAAAGATGGTAGAAACCCATTGTCATGTTGGGCCTAGGAAGCGAGCAGGTGTAAGTATGTGCTGTGTTGTTACTGTGAACTGTTATGTACTGCTAGCGATATCCACACTGATCGGAGCTACTGGACCACTTGCTATGAAGTTCAGCTCATCCCTCCACTCATTTGTTCCTCCTCTCCCAGGCACTAGTTCACCCCCAAGTTTTAGATCATTAGAGCTTGTTGCATTTATGATTGATTAGATCTCCTCCTACAAGTTTTTGTCCAACGACAGTAGAGCTATGTCTTAAGTTAGCCAGACCCAAGATAGAAAAGACTTGCTGGTTTAGATTACCATTCTTTCAATTCAGATGTTTATGCATGCAGACATCCCCTCCTCCACTCTGAGTGGCCAAGCCTGTCTTTTTCTGGTCCTATTTCTCTACTAGACACTAAGACATCTTTCCCCACTTACCATAACTAGGATCTACTGTCCTTTGCCATTTTCTGCAGATGCAGGCTCAGTTCTGCCATTTAATCCCTGTTCATTCCTAGATTTTCCTTCTTTTTGTTCCTCATTCTGGGATTCTCATTTTTGTGAGTTGTCCTGGGTCATCTGACAGCTTCACAACAGACTGAAGCTTCTTGCTTAACCCTAAGCAAGATCCCCTTTTTGTACCAAGGGGCCTAGCATACGGGGGAGGGGGAGGGCTGAGTGTCTCAGTCCAGGTCATTTCTCTGAGTTTACAACCAGGCGGAAGACACTCCCTACTGTGACTGAGTGTATTTGCATAAACCTATCTGTTAAAATAAAAGCACCTGTTCCACTGAGATTTTCTGAGAAGACTTTTGTCATTCTCTTGTTTCTGTAGCTGAATCTTTTATGTGCAAACAACATCAACCCACACACGGTGTAGAGTTCCAGGGTAGTCATTCAGAAGTCCAGATGGCTGACTATATGAGCAACTAAGGACTCAGGTCTTACCGGGTGACAGCCCACTGTAACCAACTGCAGTGGGGGCAGGGTTTTGGTCTTAAAACATGCTGAGGGCATGAGTTTTGTAGAGGACAGAATTTGTTTACATATAAACAAAGTTGCAAAAATTAAACATAAAATCTAAAAAATCATGTTTCAGAAGAACGATTCCTAAAAAGAATTTCCTGTTCCTCCATCCAGTCTCTGGGAATGTTTACTTCTGTGTCCTTGGTTTATGCTAAGTCATATAGTATCTTGACAAAAGTCCCTCCACCCATCAGCCCACTTCTCAGCTAACCATCCCACCCCTTACCAGTATGACCTTGAAAAGAGTTCCTGGTGCAGTAGTCGTCCTTCACTCATGTTTAGCTTCCCATTGACGACAACACCTAAAGCCCCCTTCCTGTCTCCTGGTCTGAGCGCCTTAAAATAGCCTGTGGGGCACCATGTGTGGTCATGTCTAAGAGCTTCCCATTGGCAACACCTACAGCCTAAAAGAAAAGCCAGCCTTCCCCTGAGAGTGTCACACAAAGGTATCCAGGGCCCAGATCTTCCCCACATCCCCCCCACACAAAAAACAAAACAACAACGAAAAGGCACCTGTGGTGATGTTAGGACGTTCCTCTTACCATTTCCTCTAACTGGACTCCTGAAAAGGACGTCTGTTTACATGGACCAAATTGTAGACTCAAACCAACCCTCACTCTTCTGTTTCCCTCCCTGCTCCCATTTCTCCCACCATTCCTTTAATGAAAAGCACTTCCACTGTCCCTTGATGCTCATCCATTCATTCACTGCTTACCATGTGCCAGGCACTATTCTAAGTGAGTAAGACAAAGTCTCCTGGCATTGTGAATGAAGCTTATATTTTGGGGGTGGAGGAGAAGGTATATAGAAAAAAATATTGAATACAGGCAGTTCAGGTGATAGATGATAATGTGATAGATGAGCTGGGGAGTGAGAAGAAGAATGAGACCTGAGTTATAAAAAGGATTCGGCTCGGAAAAGCATTCCAGACAGAGGGAATGACAAGTGCAAAGGCCTTGCTGGAAGAATGACGATCACAAATCTAAGGACCTGAAAGCAAATCAGTGTGGTCCAAGCTTGGAGAATAAGGATGGGGTTAGTAAGGCATGAGGTCAGTCACCTGGGAGGTGGGGTGGTGGTTGTGTGCCTTGGAATCAATTCTAACTCTCAGTGACTCTGCATAAGGTTTCCCAGGCTGTACATCTTTACAGAAGCAGAAAGCATCACCTTTCTCCTGCAGAATGGCTGGTAGTTTTGAACTGCGGACCTTGAGGTTAGCAACCCAGCTTGTAACCACTGTGAAATTAGAGCTCTTTGGGAGGAAGGTCGAGATTTGAATTTTATTCTAAATGCCTATCAGGGTAACAAGTTTTCTTTTGTTTCCTTTCTTTGCCTTCTTAGACTAGTCCTGTAGAGATTTTTTGACAGTGGGGTACAAGCAAAAGGTTTCCCACACACCTGAGTTTGAGACACACAGAACAGGTAATGGATGTAAAGACCTTTTGCTGGATGATTAGACTTCTCTGTTATCCTCCACCTTCAAAACATATTTGTTGTTCAGAATACCTTCTGAGTTTGAGCTGCTCAAGGCAGACTTTGTTTTCCTACTAAAACTACTGTTTGGCTTTAAGACGACTTTGGGGGATTATTTGGCTCCAGGAAGAGTCCCTGAGAATTTGAAATTCTGTTTGTCTATTCTTATGTACTTTGCCAAAAGAACCAATAGATCTGTTTTGGAAGAGGTGCAGCCAGAGTGCTCCTTGGAGGCCAGGATGGCTAAGCTTCGTCTCTCCTACTTTGGACATGTAGTCCGG